GAGGGGAGTTAGAGGCATATTCGCGTCAGCGATTCATCTACTGACTAGCCTGGTGTGAGCCGTCGTGTCGGGTTTATGTCGCGTCACGGAAACCCGACACGACCTTAAGTATTTCATAAAATTATAAAACAAGGTGAAACGTCAAATCGATTTTGAAAGCTCGTTTGAGTGACAGCTGTAACACTCTCAGCTGCGGCCCGTGAGCCACCAGTAAGGTCCAGTAGCTTCACCAATCAAATAAAAGCATTTAGAACAGAAAACATGTAAATTCATAATCGATAAAGATTATCTATACTGCGTAGGTGAACTATTCAAGCGGACCAATATTCACTAACCCATTCCTGTTACGCCCGTATCGCGAATAAACAAATGATGGAAACAGAGGTAACTTTCATCCAAACAGACCCAGCCTTTAATGTCGTCCTTTTGGCTATCAAAGAGCTACAAGACGGAGAAAGATTATCAGTGAGGCACTGTCAAAGAGCCCGCATAATTGACATCGAAAGTAACGATGAAGAAGAGGGTCGGAGATTGTCATTTGGTGCTTTAAGACCGAATATGGCCAACTCAAAATTTGGTGAAACGGCATCAGCTATCGTCCGCATGTGCATGCTGGAAGCGGTTGGTATTCAGCAAAATTTCTGGCCGCATATCGGTGAACACTCGGATCGTAGGAACAGGGGGAAGCTGGAAAGAAAGGTAATAAGGAAACCGCTTTACCGTCTCGCAAACGCCAAGGAAACAGCAAGAAACTATTGGGGTCGATATGACCAACTGTATCCCCATTACAGGATAGAAAACAAAGTTCGTGGGTTAAACATCGATGAAGAAGGTAGTATGCCAAGTATGATGCTCATACTCGGCGAACATTTCACTTCGGTAACTGAAATTACTACTACGTTCAAAGCTACGCCGAGAGGAAACCAAATGTTTAATAGTTACGTACACGTCACTTGCATCGTACGTGATATTTCAAATGGCAAAGACGGACCACATACCAAGCGCTTGAAAGCGTTCATGCAGCCCCTAAATATTGGAGAACAATATTTCGAAAAGGTTCGGAATATACAGAACGTGGAGGACGCGGAAAATTTGAGAAGTCCACTGGAAATCGAGTTTAGTGAGGGCGACAAAGAAGACGACAAGGAAGAGCACGTGGAAGAGAACGAGGAAGATTGCAATTGGGGCTTTGCTCTGCTCGTCTCTCATGTCAAGTTATATTTATATTGTTATGTATTTCTCTACTACTATATGTTATTTTATGTATATAATTTCATATTTATATAATGTATATAACTTTATATATTTTTCTTATATTATATGCTACTTTATGTATATAACTTCTTGTGACAAACCGCAATAAACTAAACTGAGAGAACGAGGAAGGGAACGAGGAAGAGAACGAGGAAGAAAGCGAGGAAGAAAGCGAGAAAGAGAACGAGGAAGAGAACGAGGAAGAGCACGTGGAAGAGAACGAGGAAGACGACGAGGAAGATTAAGTTGTATAGAACGAGGAAGAGAACGAGGAAGAGCATGTGGTAGAGAACGAGGAAGAGCACGAGAAAGACAATGAGGAAACTTGATCAAAGTGATGTTTATCTTCGACTAGCCTCATTTACATGTAACTAGATAAGGGATTGTGAATAAATTAAGACGCTTGATCAACATGGCTCGCGTGGTCATTACAGTTCGAAGCTAAATATCATACATAATGTCAGGAGTGGGATCATTAAGGTGAAAACGACGTTGATCAACCACAAGAAATGGCGACACACACTATTGCGCCGCCAGCTCCCTTCGATTTCAAGAATCCCGGAGAGTGGCCAAAATGAATACGGTGCTTCGAGCGATATCGCATATCGACTGAACTCAACGATAAGGACGAAGTCCTACAGATCATCACTA